ATGGAAGGCTGAGTCAACCTTGAGCCGGTGAGATTTGAACCGCCGAACTGCAGATAGCAGTCAGCTGAAGTGGCCTGCTATATATCAATGGGGACAGTAGGACAGGGATGGTAGGCACGCTGGTGCGCTTATGCATGCTCCCTTAGGGAGCGCTTCGGAAATGTGTGAGGTCCACAGTTTATCTCTTCTTTTATTTCTCAACCTGTACTTCTTGTTTCCTTACAATCCCTGTAGCATAAGTGTAATAAATTGAGGCAAGCAGTTAATTACTTTCTCCACTATATTCACTAAACTGTGTGGTTAAAAACCGGTTAACTAATGTGCTTGGCGAAGCTGAGTCACTCATCGGAATAACAGTTTCTTCCCGTTTCCCAGTCTTCGATTTTTTACCTTTAATGTCCGACTAAACTTTTAGATCCACGACTCTTTAAAAATCGCTTTCTTTGCAAAAATCAACCATATCTCCATCAGTTTCTTACAACTGGAATTTGTGTCCTTCTGCTTTCCAGTCTGATGTCTTAACCATTAGACCAAACTTGGTCTCACCAATTGATGGAGGTGATGATGTGTTCCCCAAAAGCAGGGGAAGCCATAGAGAAAGAGTATTTCTTTCTTTTTACACACTCACACACAGACAGACATCACACACAGACAGGCAGACAGACACCCTAATAACTCTTTCAAAAGTCCCTGAAGACCTGGTTTTGTGAACAGGCCTGGAGAGACCCCCAGGGGGATACGGAGTCCATCAACTGGTTGGTTTGATCATTGTCACCAGAAGCTCGGAGGCCCATTGGAGTTTGCGTTTGGGTTTTTATTTCTCTGAACTGCTGCCAGAAACGCCCCGAGTCCATTTGGGTTGCCAAATAAACCTGAATAAATGTATTTGTTCAACTTAACAAACCCTCCCATCTCTCCTGGAGATTTTATTTACACATAAATCACCCTAGGAGGGGAAAGCTCGGAAGAGCAGGGTGAAGGTGTGAGCTGCCTGCAGAAGCCAAGTTCTTGGGCCTGACCCTTGTTTTGGACCAAGAGGAAACGTTGAATATTTGATTGGTGAGAACTGGACCAAAGGACCCAGATTACGGCAGGGAACGCTGGGCTGTAGACTTACCAAGAAACCACTGAAGGAAAGCAATCCCACCGGGAAGCCAAGCCACATTAGGAATGCATCAAGAGCGCGGGAAGAAGAGGGGAAGGGTAAAGGGGAGGAAGGGGAAGGAGAGAAGGGAAAGGAGAGGAGGAAGGAAGGAAGGAGAGAAGAAAGAGAAGAAAGGGGGTAGGAAGGAGGGAAGGAAGGAGAGAAG